GATTTTTAATATCGATAGTAAATTATATTTATCTTTATAATAATATAATTTATATATGGGTGTTTCTACGTAAATAGCGTTTTTTATTGTCCAAGCTTGTTATATGTTCATGATTGAGAGGAGGGTAAGCAAGCGTTGTAAAAGTTCACTACTGCATCGTATTTGAAGTATCGCACAATAATCTGCTAATTGGGAAGTGGCTTATCCAATGGAAACATGCAGAAACTCCTAAAAATGTCAGTTACCTGGCCTGTCCATTGTCGAAAATTCCAGTTACACTTACTCCCTCCAATTGCAAACTCAATTGAAAATTCCCCATGTTCATTTAATCATAATATAGAACTAAGATTTTAACACCATTATTAAACATAAATCTCCCTTTGGAACCGAAAAAACCGGCTTCAAACTTGGTCCGGACATATGGAGTAAAATTGCACATTTTGAATTTTACTGCGGTTCCGCCATGTTGCATCGATTCAATGGAAGTCTGATGTGGAGATTTCAAGAATTGGACATCAAGGCTGCGTTCGGAAACGTCACCCGGGTATACACGGGTATACTCCCTTCTCCTTCTAACTCGCTGAGATAGAAAGAGAAGGGAGTTTAGGGAGTATACTCGTGTACACTCGGGTAACGTTTCCGAACGCAGCCCAGGTGTGTTGTTTACATTGTTGGTGGTTGGTTGTTTTGAGCGTGATACAATCGTAATCGTGTATTTCACTTGAGAAAAGGTATGTCATAAAATTACGCGTCATTTGCCTGGCACATCTTTTTTTATTATATCGCAGTAAATTTTTCCTTCTAGTGGTAAAATTCTGATGATATTCGGTAGGCTAAACTTGATTTTTAATGAAAATTGGTTTATGTCAATTCAGGAGAAAGTGAGATTAATTCAACCATGAAATGTCAGTCTACTGGAATGTCATTCACCTGGCCATTCATGGGTTTGACGTTAAAATAAAATCAAACACGGTAAAATACGGCAAAATAAAATCAAATACGGTAAAATACGGCGAAATAAAATCAAATACGGTAAAATACGGCGAAATAAAATCAAACACGGTAAAATACGGTGAAATAAAATCAAATACGGTAAAATACGGTGAAATAAAATCAAATACGGTAAAATACGGTGAAATAAAATCAAACAC